CCTGCGTCGCGAAGTGCGACTGGGCCTGGGCGAGCTTCTGGCGGAACTCGGCGAGTCCGGGGTCGACGCGGAGCGATTTCGCGAAGCTCGTGTCCGCGGCCTTGGTCGTCACGGGGGGCAGGCCTACCAAGCATGACGGTAACGAGTTCTCTTCGTTTTCCCGGTCAAAATCTCTCAAAAATCGTCACCGCCACAGGACGCTGGGGCAGGCCAAAGGCCGGCGTCGTGATGACGCGGACAGTCGCGTTGGACTGGAGCTTCGGGCAGAACGTCTGTCCGCAGCAGTTGCCGAAGCAGCAGCGGGAGAAGCACGTCTCGCGGCCGTCGAGGGTCGTCTCGACGTTGGCACCGGAGAAGCGCTCGATGGGCGCCCAATACATAGCAAACTCCGTGACCTTAAAGAGGTCGAGGCAGCACTCCGTCGCCGCGAGGATGCAGCAGGGGTCGTTGGACCTGCGAGGGCGGCGGCGTCGGACCCCGGCGCGGAGCGGCGTGCGCGCGCGGCGGGCCGGCGCGGGGTCGGACCGCTCGTGGAAGGTCACGATCGTCGAGTTCGTCAAGAGGAGGCGCTCCCGGGAGAAGTAGGGGCTCAGGCCGCAGGAGAGGGCCCATGGGACGTTCGGGAAGCACGGCCACGTCTTGTTGCGGCACGTCGTGATGCAACAGCAGATCGGCGGAAGGTCGTCGTAGACCTTGCCCTCGTAGGACGCGAGCTTCTTCTCGCCGGGGAACAGGGGCCTGTGACACCTCTTCATCTCAGAAAGTGGAAAGTGACGCCGCATGACGGGCATGGTCCGCTCTTCGAGGCTATTGACGGTGATGTCCGGGACCTCGAGGGCATTCGGAAAGGCGACGCTCCGCGACGGCGTCCTGGCGAGCGCGGAGAGGAACTTGAGCCGCTTCGGGAGCTTGATGTCGCCAGTAATCGCCGTCTCGCCGCCCTCCTCCGCGCGGGCATCGCATTGGTAGAAATTCAGCTCGATGACCCCGCAGTCCGTCAAAATCGCGCCCTGGAGCCACGCGCGGCTCCGTTTCACGTAGCCCGCCCGGACCTCCGCGGGGAACAGGCTGCGGGTGAGAACGCCCTTGGTCGTCGGGCAGCAGCAGTTCATCGACTCCGGGAGGAAGAGGGAAAAGCACGAGTCGTCGCGCACGACCGCGGAGACGACGACGCGCTTGGTCGTCAAGAGGATGCCCGTCTTGTACATCAACTTCGGCCGAATGATGTAGAACCTAGTTTCAAAAGGGTCAGGTTCTGGTTCTGGCTCAGACTCGGGCTGAGAAACCAGTAGTACGGGCAGCACGCGAGCCCGAGGCCCAAAAAGATGACTCCACCGCCGACCGGGCCGCCGGCGTCGTCCGACTCGCTCGCGACGATGAAAAGGATGAGCGAGAGGAACAAGGCGAAGGCGCCGAAACCGACGATGGCCCGCTCGTAGCACTCGAGCTCGTAGCGCTCAGACGTGGAACCGAGGATGGCCTCGCCCGGCGAGAGCTCGAGGGACGCGGGGATCGTGCAGCTGTGCTCCTGGACCGTGTCGAGGCCCGCGAAGTCGGCGTTCCGCGCGCCCGGCGGCTGCTCGAGGCCCTCGGCGCCCTCAGCGGACCACACGTCGCCGCGCGACCCGGCGACGAGGGCCCCGAGCTTCGCGACGATGGGCTCGAGCTCGGCCATGCAAGCCTTGGCCGACGGGTGCTCCACGTCGCGGATGTCGTCGGACTCCTTCATCGACAGGATGTCCACGTAGGGGATGGACTGGGGCCGCCCGTCCAGCTGCTGGGACCAGGCCATCGGCTCCGACTCGGACCCCCCAACGCCGAACAACTCCTGCACCTGCGCCACGAAGGTCCGCGCGCGCCGCGTCTCGACGGCGCCCCCCTTGGAGTCGTCGAACTGGCCGAACTGGACCCGCGCGACGGCCTCGTAGGTCTCCGCGCAGCAGCAGCAGCCGCACAGGAACCCGGGCGTCAGCGTCGCGACGACGTTGATCTCGCGCACGGTGTCGAGGCCGTAGCTCTGGGTGGACCTACCAGAGGCATCGGTGGCGATGTTCCATCGCTTTCCCGGTCACAATCGCTCACGTGATGCTGTTGTACTTGGTCGCGATGGCGCACCAGAGCGGGCAGCAACACACGAAGACAGGCCAGGTGCACCTGCGAGGGTCGGCCTCGGCGCCCGCGCCGCGCCTCGAGGCCGAGTCCGAGACCGAGCCGAGCGCGCGCTCCGGGAGGTGGACGCCGGCGCGGCGCCCGGTCTGGCAGAGCGTCAACAAGCCCGCGAGGACGGGGATGCTGCCGAACGGGGGGATGCACCAGAACTCCCAGCAGGTCATGTTTTCTAGAGGACGCGCGGAATGAGTCCGAGCGGCCGCGGGCGGGCGAACGCGCGGACGCGGGGCGCACTGATCTTCGTCTGTTCGACCTCGGTCGCCCAGACCAGCAGGCGGCAGTGATTCGTGAGCACCATCACGCCGCGCTGCATCGAGATGAGCTTGGGCACGCAGCAGCGGATTCGGTAGCAGTACTGGAGCAGGTAGTAGTAGGCCGCGTAAAGTCCGAGCGTGCAGATGCTGAGGCACCAAAACTTGCAGCGCGAGACGAGCACGCCTGCGGCGGGGAAGGGACCGTCGGTTCCGGGACCGCGAGCGCGCGGGCGGCGCCCTCCGCGGCGGCCGAGCGGCCTCCGCCCGAGCCGACGGGGCCCGCTCGGCCACCGCGGAGTGGGGGTTTCGCAGCCCGCAGAGGCACTGGAAGCGCACCCGGGATGTGCACGTTATAGGCGTACAGAACTCGCTCGCCGGGCGCGAGCTCGTAGGCCAGCGACTTTGAGCTGTCGGTGCTTTCGTTGTCGTCCAGGCCCTTGGCCAATCCCGCCTGATTCCGTGTCTTCTGGCCCAACAAACCTGCCTCCGCATCGACGATCTCCTCATCCTCCTCGAGCGCGTCGTGCTCCTCGACGTCCGTCTGCTTCTTCTTCCCAAAGGAGAACATCGCGCTGTGCTTGGAATGCCGTGCCGTGCCGCGCTGCGTGAAGTTCGCGACGCGCCGTAGATCGCGCCGCGATTCCCGATTTCGATGAAAGATGATACTTCACTTGCAACATGCCTTCAAGGCTCCTTCAATAGCGTGTGGTGCCGGCGCCGGCGGTCCACTGGCCCACCCGAATGGTATGTTCCTTAGGAGATCGCGCAGCCGCCCTGCTTCTTCTTCTTGTTGTCCGGCGGGCCGCCGCCGGGCCGGTCCGGGGACGCCTGGCGCGCCTGGAGCGCGTCGAGGTCGTCCCGGACGCCTGGCGCGAGGTTGTCCCGGAGGAGCGCGCCGCCTGGCACGAGGTTGTCCCGGAGGAGCGCGCCGCCTGGCGCGAGGTTGTCCCGGAGGAGCGCGCCGGCGTCCGGCCGCGCGGGCGGCGCCGAGTGGCGCGGCTCGACCCAGGCGACGGCGTCGACGACGTCGGCCTGGACGATGAGCGGCGCGGCCTCGACGTCGGCCGCGAGCGCGGCCGCGAGCGCCGCGTCGTCCGCCGTGTCGGGCCGCGGCGGCGGCGGCGCGCGCGGCGACTGCCCCGCCGCCGGCGTCGTCCCGGGCGTCGCCCACGCCGGCGCGAGGCCCGCGGGCGTCTCGCGCGGCGACGCCTCCGCGGCGGCGGCGCTCGCCGCCTGCGCGCGAGCGAGCTGTGCGCGGAGCTCGACGATGACGCGGTCCTTGCGCGCGAGGTCGTCGCGGAGCAGCGCGACCTCGCGGCCGCTCGCGTCGACGGTCCGCGCGAGCTCGCCCTTGACGCGGTCGAGCGCCGCCCGCTCCTCGCGGATCAGGGTCGAGCTCTTTTCCCGCTCCTCGCTCCGCGCGGCGTCGACGCGGCGCGTCGCGTCCTCCTCGACGCGGTCGAGCCGGGACTGGAGGCCGTGGTGGCGCTTCTTGAGCTCCGCGCGGATCTTCTGCGCGTCGTGCGAGAGCGCGACGCCGTCGTGGCTCGCGATGTGGTGCTCGTTGTCCGGGTCGACCTCCTCCATCCACGCGTCGAGCTCGAGGCGCAGGGGCTCGAGGGCCGCGTCCACGTCCTCCTCCTTCTTCGACACGAGGTGCCGCTTCTTCTCGAGCTCCGACGCCGTCAGCGCGTCGATCTCCGTGACGAGCTTGAAGTACTCCTTCCCCGCGGCCTCGAGGAGCTGGATCGACGTGCGGAAGATGGAGTAGCTCTCGTGGGCGCCCCAGTCCTTGCGCACCATGAGCATGTCGTTGTGGATGAGCTGGAGCTCGCAGATGTGGCCGACGTCGCCCGCGCCGTGGGTCCACCGCTTGTCCGACGACACGAAGCGGAAGTTGATCATCGCGTCGGCCCAGCCGCCGGACGTGGGCTCGATGAAGCGGTTCTTGACGCGGACGATCTCGATGCGCTGGTCCATGACGACGTCCGGCGTGTCGGCGTCCGTGACGTCGCAGCACTGGAGCAGGAGGAGCGCGTTCTGGAGGTGCTTCATGTTCTCGAAGCGGAGCGAGCCCCGGACGACGTCCAATAGCTCGGCGACGTGGGCCCGGTCGTAGCCGCCGCCGTCGGGGTGCATGCCCATCTTCTCCGCGATGCGCCAGAACCCCTTGATGGTGCACTTCATGTACGTGCCCTTGGACTTGTCCGCGAGCTTCGTCAGGAAGGCCACGTACTTGTCGCGGACGCGGCACGCGCCGCTGTAGAGGCCCCCGAGGTCGTGGGGCTCGGGCTGCCGGGCCTTGTTGACGTTGCCGTCCGCGTCGCGGCCGCGGCCGCCGTCGGCGATGACGACCATCTTCTCGAGCGTGTCCTTGACGACGCGGTTGTAGATCGCGCGCTCGTCCTCCTGGATGCGCTGGTGCGTCTCGAAGTACAAGTGCTTGTGCGCGCGGCAGGTCTCGTAGTAGGACTGCTTGAGCTGCTCCGCGTGCTTCCTCGCCCAGGCGACGTCGTGCGCGAGGTACGCGCCCGTGGACTCGTGGAACGCCGCGAGCGCCTCCGTCTCCGCGGCGCTGAGGCCGCCGACGTGGAGGAAGCGGTAGGAGCCGTTCTCCTGGCGGTTGATCTCGTCGAAGAAGAGGTCGAAGACGCGGACCATGGCCTTGACCTCCTTGCGCTGCGCCGGGAGCTTGAAGTCCGCCATAGCCGCGCCCGACGCGCCGGTCGCCTCGATGTCGCGGACGCGCCTCTCGCCGAGGCGCTTCACGTAGTCCGCGAGGTCCGTGGCGACGACGGCCAGCGTCGACTCGCGGGACCCGAGGCGCTGGGCGAGGACGTCGCAGACGCCGAGCGCGCGGACCTGCCGCTGCCGCTTCTCGTTGTCGCCCGACATGACGATGACCTCGGCGACGACGTAGACGGCGTAGGAGATCTGGAGCCAGCAGCCGGCCTGGTCCATGTTCGGCACGCGCCACTGGGAGATGATGGCCTCGGCGAGGGCGAGGCAGAAGCCCACGACCGCGACGATCACGGTCGCGATGGCGTCGACGACGTTGAAGATCTTCGCGCGGGCGTGGATCGCCGCGAGGTGGGTCTTGTTGTTCGCCCGGGCGATGCCCTCGCGCCCGTCGAGGGGCGCCGCGGAGCCGCAGGTGCCGAAGGCCCAGGGCCCGTGGCCGAGCGCGAACGCGCACGCCGTCAGGGACCACGCGCAGAAGAGGCAGTTCGTCGGCGCGAAGAGCTCCGCGCGGCACGCGGTCGCGTAGGGCCGCGCGACCGCGAGGCCCGTCAGCGCGCCGCCGTAGGCGAACTTGACGGCGAGCTGCCAGAAGCGCCGGAGCCGCTCCTTGCCCGTCAGCCGGCCCGTGTCGTCGTAGTGCTGGAGGTTCTGGACCTCCGTCGTGCACGCGAGCCCGACGGGCAGGAGCAGGCAGACGACGAGCCACAGACTCGAAAAGACCGCGCCGCCCGCGTCGCCCGGGAACTCCTCGTCCCACCAGTCCTCGTAGGCCTCGGACGTCCGCGCGGGGTACTCGCAGAGGCAGTTGCGCTGCTTCCGGCAGGGCGACACGACGGCCATGGAATTCTTCGGCGAAAAGAAGAAGACAGCGTCCGCGTCCTCGCCTTTGCCCGGCCGCGAGAAGCGCTGGCAGCCCGTGCCGTAGATGATGCACTGGCCGTTCGCGACCTCCTTGTGTTCTCCGCTGGGCCGCTTGTCGCTGTTCTCCGCCTTGTGCTGCTTCCGGTAGTAGGACTTGCGCCCGCCGAAATCCAAGTCCATGCCGCGGCGGCCGTTGCTCCAGAGCCAGCCGCACTCGTGGCTCACCTTGCCCTTGCGGCCGATGCCGAGCTTGCCCATGCGGCCGTGGTGCGCGCCGACGTAGCCGAAGATGCGCTGCTTCATGGTGTCGACGGCCGCCCAGTCCGTCTGCGCCGTGCCCTCGTCGCCCTGGCACAGGCCCCCGTAGACGGCGCCGGAGGAGACGAAGAGCGACAGCCAGTAGTCGAACGCGCGGCGGTCGCGGCCGGGCAGGGAGGTGAGCGACGCGCCCTTGGACGCGCAGTAACTCTCGCAGCCGCCGTGGTGCCGCTCCACGGTCGACCGGTGCAGGCAGACGCGCGCGTGGGGGCCGTCGGCGTTGCCGGCGCCGTCGTCGTCGCCCGCCTCGTCGAGGCGGCGGCGGCGCGCCGCGGTCGGCGGCACCGTCGCGTAGGTCGGCGCCAGGGACGGCGCGCTGGACGGGACGGACGTCGGCGCCGACGTGGGCGCGGCCGTCGGGCCCGCGGTCGGCGCGGCCGTCGGACCCGCGGACGGCGCGGCCGTCGGCGGCGCCGACGCCGTCGGCGCGGCGCTCGGCTGGAACGCGGACGTCGGGCCCGCCGTCGACGGCGCGGGCGTGGGCGCCGGCGTCGTCGGCGCGGGCGTCGTCGGCGCGGGCGACGGCGGCGCCGACGGCGCGGGCGTGAGCGACGGCGGGGACGTCGTCGGCGGTCGGGTCGGGCCGGGCGTCGGCGCGGGCGTCGCGCGCCGCGCGCGGGCGTCGGCGACGTAGTCGTCGAGCCAGGGCGCGTCGATGCGGCTCCACTGCTCGCCGAGCGCCGGCGAGTAGCACGCGTCGTCGAAGAGGTCGTCCGGCCCGTGGCGCTCCTCCTCGTAGCCGGGCTCGGCGACGTAGTCCGCGTCGGCGCTGAGGAAGGCGACAGCGAAGATTATGAGCGGGATGAGCAGGCCGATGATGATGGCGCCGCAGCGGCCGGCGTAGTTGATCTTCGGCGCGACGAACTGGCGCCGCTCCGCCTGGGCGGCGATGAGGGCGTCGATGTCGACGATGGCCTCCTCCAAAGTCCACGCGCCCTTGCTGTGCGACTTGGGCTCCTCGACGATGGGGTTCTTGGCGTCGCGCTCGTCGTCGTCGGCCATGGCGGGCGGTTGGGTGTTCTATGTCTTGTTTTGATCTCTCATCGTCCGCAGAGAACGCAGCAAACCCCGCCGGGCAGCATGGATCCGGGCAGCGGTTCGAATCGTTGTGTGCAACTTTGGAGCATGTTGACATCAACACGACTACAGGGAGGATTTTTGGTCATCGACAGGCTGATTTTGGCCCGGCTTGGGGCCTCTCTCCCGGTCTTTCCCGTCGGCCAGCGACCACGAGGCGCCCACGTCCGCGCCCTCTAGGGCCCTGAAGCCCGTAAATTACGCCCTTAATGCGCAAGAAAGTCGGCGGGCGGTCTAGGTTCAACATCGATGTTGCAGTGCAACAAACCCAGGTTGAAGTTCAAACATGAGCAAAAGCCGGTCTGTGTCGCTAGATTTGCGTACCACCAGTCGCAGCTGCGTCGTAACGACGCTGGGGAGCGAAACATTGCTTTGGATTGACTCGATTCGCGCAAAAAACGGTCACCCATGCCCTCTCGACGAGGGCGGTCTCGAGCGGTGAGCGCGTACATGCTTTGCGTCGAGTAGAACATCGAGGTAGTGGCGATCCATGTAAACTGAGCTAGGTTCTGGACCGAAACGTGCTGTCCAATGCTTAAAAGCGTCCAATTTGGTGACGCGCGCGCGGACGGACCACACGCCCCGTGCGGGACTCGTTCGACGTCTCGGGCTGCCTCCAGCGAGTCGGCGCGGCGGACCGCGGTCGCCGCGCGGCGCCCGGGCGGTCGCGCCGTCCTCACCGGTCCGAGACCCGAGCGCGGGCACAATTTGACCGGCGGCGAGCACGATCTTGCGCTGGAACACCGACAGCCTCTCAGGCGCCGATTTCGGCGAGATGCTGCCGACCGCCGATTTCGTCGCTGGAGCGGCCCGATCTCGACACGAACGTCGAATTAGTGGCGATGCATGTAAACCGAGCTAGATTATGATGCTATTAACAAGTCCTAAACGGGGCTGCCCCATCGTCGACCGGCTTTGAGGCGCGCGCACGCTGTCTTCAACATGTTGTTAACTAGGAATCCACCCTGTAGTCCGCTCGAATCCGCTCTCCGCTTTGCTGGACCCCTCCCGAGAGCGCTCCGCGTCGTCCTGTCGTTCATGGCAAA